TGAAATATGCTCTGAAATCATGTGAGAAATGAGGCTATACCATGCAAACATCACATTCCAAGCATGCTAGGGACCACAAACACAAAGCTAGTGAAGTCAACCATGCCATAGCTATACAAAGCAAGCCATATATGACCAAGACCACTTAAAACAGACCTCAAACATGTTAAATCGGTGGCAAAAATGTGCTGGAGCAAAGCTAACACATGCTAGAATGATGAACTAAAGCATAAAGCATGTTAGGCCAACAAGCATGATTGCACTACAAGTACCAAAAGCAAGCAACCAATGACCAAACCAACCCAAAACAGAGTTATCGCAAGTTCAAAAAGTCACAAAAACATGCTTGGACTCAGCTTAAAAGAAGTAGAAAAGCATGCTCAAGTACAAGGCCAACAAGGCATGGAAGCAAGACAAGAGGAAAGGGGACCACCCCTTCTCATTTTGGACCTTAAAAACACCTTTCCACCACTGAAATTCCTCTGAGTTTCAGTGATAGAAAGGCCATGCAAAGGCTAAAACAAGAGCCTCAAAGGATGGCTCAAAAGCCTAACAAATAAGGCAAACAAGGGAGTGAAACACCCCCAACTCCCACAGGGCCTCAAACAGCCATCTTTAACACTTAAAAATAGAACTTTTTGTAGTTGAAAACAAGGCCTAAAACAGTATGCAAAGGGGGCCAAACACTTGATCAAAATAAAGCTTAAAGAGGGAAAACACTCACCCTTGAAGCACAACTTTAAGACAGCAAGTTCTCTGAGTTAAAACCAGCTTTTTGAGTCCAAACAACACCCTCAAGTACCTCAGCAACAAGGTAATGGTGTTTCACTAGGTGCTTTAGTGCAAAAGTGTGAAGAAAACTCACTTTAAGGCACAAACTAGTACAAATATATATATATATATATAAAGAGAGAGAGAGAGAGAGAGAAATATAGAGCGAGAGGGACATGTTTTGCCCTAATCAAAATTTGAACCTCGTAAAGGGGAGAGGAGCCTCCCCTCTTATAGGAATCCAAGTCTCAAGCTTGTTGGACAAGTTAGAAGCTTGGTGTAATCCCTCCATACACGTGTATGGAGGATGCATTATGTGCTCACCAGCTGGCACAACTGGCAATAAAAATATCTGCAAAAGCAAAGAAAAGGGCCTCAGCCAAAAAAAATGGCCGACCAGCCATTAAAGGGGTCGACCAGTCATCAGTGAGGCCGACCGGCCACCACTTATGGTCGATGGAAAGAGGGCACGGCCGATGGGCACTGGGCCTGGCCGACGGGTTGTAGGGCTGGCCAGCAGGCCACCCCCTTCCCTCTACAAGCTCTTGGTCTACAACCAAGCATAAAACAGACAAGTTGAGAGGCTCCAAGGGAAGTCGCACAGCCGAGACCTTCAAGAACTCAAAACGAACACGAGCATGGATGATCATCGAGTGTTCAACCGATGACGTCCATGTCTTGAGGACGGTCAAAAATGGGGTGTCTACACTGATGAGCAAAGTAATAATTTCCATCAGTTCTATTTAAACAATTATCAATTGAAGGTGGGAGATGGAAGCATAATTACCTTCTGGAATGATAGCTGGTGTCAGCAACTTTCCCTGAAGTATGAGTTTCCATGCCTTTACAGATTATCTATAGAGAAAAGTGATACATTGAGAGATATCTGTGGCAAGAAAGATGCAACTGGTGTATGGAACCTATCATTCAGAAGAGATTTGTATGAGTGGGAGGTGTTGGAACTACAGACCCTACTCAACCATCTAGCAGCAGGCCTTGTGTTAAGACCAGAACAGGTAGACAGGCCTGTTTGGTTAGCATCTAATTCAAGTAAGTATTCTATAGCAGCAATGTACAAGTTTGTTATTGACAATCTTGGTCCATCCCTCAGAATTAGTAAATTGGTCTGGATAAAGTATATTACTCCTATGGTACAAGTTTTTGGATGATTAGCTTGGAAAAAGAGAATTAAGACAATGGAGTTCCTACAAAGAGTGGGTGTGCTAAATGTGAATGGTTTCAATCTCTGTGTCTTTTGTAGGACTAATATTGAATCTGCAAATCATGTCTTAGTCTGTTGTCCCTTTGTGTGGAGTGTGTGGGCTGATATGCTGAATTGGTGGGGGATGCAAAGGGCACTACCAGGCTTCGCGGACCAGTTGCTATTATGGTGGGCTGGAGGGAAGATGACGAAGTTGGAAAGGAAAATTTAGGCCAAGTTTGGCAAGTTGCCAAAAAGTTACTCAAAAAGTTAAAAAGTTATCACTATTCACCAAAATTCAAAAATTACGGCTGCACAATTCTCAATCCTAATTTTCCCCTACACACTGATTTATACAATTTTTTAATATACATTTTTCCATAAAAAGTCAAAAAGTTAATCCAGACATCCATATTTTTTTTCTCAATTTTTTAGTCCAAAAAGATAAAAAGTGCACTTATTTAAGACACCTCAAACAACCCCTTAGAGTGATATTCCACTGGCGGTATTTTGGTCAATTTGGAAACTTAGATATGACTGTATCTTCAACTCAACTATTCTAAACAGGGGTGAGTTATGTGAGTTGATCAAAATCAAGTTAGCCCTATGGTTGAGTCCACACCTGAAGAGCTTTCAATTTTCAATTAATGATTTTTTTTTTCTTTAATCTGAGTCAGATTAGGTTATGCCTCGGTGGAGCTTTAGTGTTTTGAGTTAGGTGAAGCTTGCTTATAGTTTGGCTGTGTAGCTCCTATCTGTTGGTGTTCTGCTTTGGTGGTGTAACTCCTCTCTGTTGGTGTTCTGCTTTGGTGGTGGTATTCTGTTTGTTTGTTGGTCTCTCACCAACTTGAGGCTGTGCTAGCAGATGATCGAATAGTCCTCACGGTGCCAACTTAGTTGGGATGGTGGTGGCCTATTGTGATGCTCTTTGCACTTCCTCCTATCTATTGATGTAATCCTTATGGTTGTACATTTCTTTTCATCAATGGATTTTTCTTTGGTTAATCCAAAAAAAAAATGTTATTTATCTATTACTCATATTATTGATTAAAATTATATTGTTGGAGGGCATAATTATTCCACATGGAGGTTAAAGAACGACTATTCCATTCCATTTGATATCATTTCAATGAACCAAATACTACTTTAGTGTTTATAAGACTCCATTTCATAGGGAGGACTACTAAAATTCTATAGTGTTAGCTAGCTAGCTACACTTTTATCTCTTGTGGTTTAACCCCAAAACACACAGCCCCTTCAAATTTATAAATCTATGTGTAATCTCATGCAGTGTTATTAAAGCGCACCTAGGCGCAAGTCTCATCCAAGCATACCACTTGCGCCTTACAATGCTCCAGGTAAGGCAACTTCAATAATCACATGGGATTCACATGTGATCTGGGTTGAGGAGGAAGAAAAAGATTAAAGAAAAAAGGGAATAAAGGGGTTATGTGTCTTACTAAACCACAGGAGTAAAGCGTAATTAACCCAATCTTAAATCTGCTCAAATTTACATAAGCTTAGTTGACATAAACTCCATAGCTTTTGGGTGCCCAAGTCTTTCTATTGTAAAGTGGAGAAGTAGCAGAGGCACACAACTATATGAGAGACTGAAGCTTTTTGTTTGAATGACTTCTATACCCATTATTTGATTTTGGCATTTACAATTAAAAATCTTATTCTTTATTAATAGTGCACTTGTTGTGTGGTAGATAACTTGTTATAATAATCTTTTTCTTCTGTTGGCTTATGTTGTTAATCCAGGGACTTGGCCTCAGATTATATTCAAATTACTTATAGTTAAGTGCTGAAAATGGTTGTCCGAAGGGAGAGAAGGTTGGGTGGAAAGCCAGAGGAAGTGGATAATAGACAAAACACTCGAGATTGGGCAGGATTGCCTGAGGGCCTCCTTGAGATGGTTTCAAAGAGGCTTCCCCTAGTGGATTGTTTGTCCTTTGGTAATGTTTGTAAGCCCTGGAGAATTGTTGCCACACAATTTTTTCGTGGACGGACATGTGGAATTCCATGGCTTGTGAAGCCCGGTCAGAAAGACAATATAACTAGGAGCTTCTTCAGCATTGTTAAAGATTTAGTCTATGAGATAGAGGTACCAGAGCCTGTGGAAAATATGTTTGGAGGATCTTTCCAGGATTGGTTAGTGGTGGTAAAATGATTTGGCATTTCCTTTATCGAGATTTGTCTACTAAATCCATTTTCAAGAGCCGAGATACTTTTGCCTACAATGGTTAACTGGTATTGTATGATGGTTTTGTTAACAGTCCCAACTAATGAAAATTGTGTTTGTATGCTAGTAAGCATAAATTGTGCATGGTTTTCCTTTTGGACTCCAGAAGCTCCAGGATGGCATGGATTGCTACTAGATGGTTGTGCGTTTGATGCTCTCTTCTATAAAGGATGTTTCTACCTTTTGAAAGAAGATTACAATATTGTAATTATTGATATAGAAAATGTTCTCAGTGTAATAAGTAAAATTGCTGGGATCAGGACTCAATTGCTTCCAGTCAAAAAACCAAATAGAGCAATGCCTACGTTTGTTAAAAGATATTTAGTTGAATCAGGAGGAGAGATACTACTTGTTTGCCAGCTTTTCAGTATCGGATCAAAATTTCTTCAAACTTGTGGCTTTGCAACATACAAGCTGGATCTTTGTCAAATGACGTGGGTAAAGTTAGAGAGCCTGGAGGATCGGGTTTTATTTGTAGGTAAATACTATTCTAGATCCTTTATTGCAAAGGAACTTGGAGATGGAATGGCCGATTGCATCTATTTTAAGAACAATGCTCCTAATGTTCCGTACATTGAGTGGGATCAAGCATCTGAGTACTGCAGAAATCATGATGTTGATGATTGGGGAGTTTTTAGTTTTCAGAGTTACACTTTTTCCAACTGTGGGAGGCCTAACAATTGGGCAGCCATTTGGATTATTGCACCTATATGGTGGTATTGTAGGAATACTTACTGGTCAATGGCTGCATATATATTGAGAATTCTCTAAATGGAAAAAAAGATGGAGAGTAGACAGATACGATGGAGAGAAACCACACATCATGGCGACAGTGGTTGGCAGCCAGTTGTTCGAAGGTATGGAAGACGGGGAGTGTGGAATAGAAGGGAGGTAGCAGATATCCACTTTGTTTTTGTGGACAATATACATGAAGTAATGGGGGCAAAAGGGCTATATTCCATCTTTGTTAACTATGGTGTAGTCATGGATGTTTTTATTCCCAATAAGAGAAGGAAATTGACACGATCGCGATTTGGTTTTGTAAGATACAATTGCTCTGTTGCAGCAGCCGTAGTAGTACAGAAAGCTAATGGGCTGTGGTGTGATGATAGAGCCCTAAAAGTCAAAATGGCAGATTTTGGGAAGGAATATGTCACAAAGAATAAACCTACAAAACCAACATAGATTAGGAAGACTATGGAGGCTATTCCAATTACTGACACTGGCTATCAAAGACATGTCATGTGCAGAGGTAGTGGGAGGTAGGGGTGTGCCATCAAATGTAATTCCAACCATTAAAGCATATGAGGAAAGCAATGGCTGGTTGTATGAAAGTGCAGTAGCAAGGCTCAAATCATCCTCTTCAGTGGAGGAGTTTAAGGAGGAACTAGTAAGAGGGGCTTTGAGGATGTCGCAGTTAGAATGGAAGGTAAAAGAAATATGGTTCTGTCATTCCAATCAAAAGAGATCATGGGGGAAAGACTCATAAGAATGAAGGAGTGGCTTAAGGAATGGTGTGAGTCAGTCTTAGAATGGAAACAAGGGATGGTCATTCACCAAGAAAGGTATGTATGGCTCAGTTGTTATGGTGTTCCCTTGAATCTGTGGAACTGCAACACATTCCTTCACATTGGAAAGATGTGGGGTGAAGTGATTGGATTGGATGATGATACTCGGAATCTAAATTCTCTACATTGTGGGAAAGTGAAGATTGTTACGAGACTTATGGAGTCCATTAACCAACTCATTCATTTGGATTGTAAAGGCAAATTATACCCAGTTAGGGTCTGTGAGGAACAAATTATTGTATCTAAAGATGTGAAGGTGCAATGTTTCTGCAAATCACACAGCTGGAAGTATGATGAGAACTACAATCTTGCGTATAATCTCGATCAGGATAATCATTAGAGTCCAGGAAAAGAGAGTAGGCTTGAAGAAGAAGATGGAGACGTGGAGGTCTACGTAAATAATGAGTTGACAAAAAGGATTAATGTGGATGAAGTCGGAATAGGGGTTTCTCATGTCAGTAATACTGATATGGCTAGTGAGGATCGGCTTAGTGATGTCTCTGTGGTGGGTGAAACAGACATGTTTAATAGCATGTAAGAGGAAAGCGCAGAAATGGTGTCAAGTTCCAAGAGGAGAGGTGGTGAGTTCCAAGAAGTAGGAAGGGTTGTTGGTGACATACCCAACTCTGGGTGTATCAGAAGTCTCATCGAAGTTGAAGTCTTGAGGCCTGGGATTCAGTTAGTGGACTTGATGAAGGCCCAATTACTTGATGGGCCTGTTGAATCAACCCATGCTAGTGTGGGGTTAGGCCCTGAGATTTTTTATAACTCTCATTATCCGTCTGTGTCTAGCCCATAATCAAGAGGAGGTGGGTCAGCCCTCGGTTGAGGTAAACAGAGTGAGGATCCCAGTGAATCCAATTCCAAGCAGAAGGCCTCCTGGGAAAGAGAAGGATAAAGCAAAGAGCAGAAAGAAATGGCAGAAGAAAGGGAAGCAACTGGGTGTTACAAAATTGGGTGAGCCATCTTTAATGCTGAGGAAAGGAGCAATTTTTCGATTGGCTGTGGTTGCCATTTCCCTCTCAATGGCGAGTGAATCCAGCAAAGCTCGGTTAGTGATGTCAGAGGCAGAAGCAATACTGGAAATGGGCAAAGCTCTTGGCATTGATTGTGAAGGGAAAGAGGAGGAGGTGATTAGCAAATTGGAAGATCTTGAAGCCAAAGATTTGGAGAGAGTAAGGCAAATGGACGGGGATGCTAATTAAGTTAGCAAAATCAAGGAGGTTGAGTGCTCTATATTAGCCCTGTTTAGTAGGGTTTATTTTCAACTTATTTCAGCTTTTAGCTTAATTTAAACTATTTTGATGTGTTTGGTTCAGCTTAACAATACAGTTTATGGCTTTTTGTAAATCAAAAATCAACTTATTCTTTGAGTGGGGCAGGAGAAGCTTAATTTATTAATCAAAAATCAGCTTATATTCACAATTATAAGTTATAAGCTGTTAAGGTATAAGTTATAATCACTTTTCCACAACTCTACCAAACGGGCCATTATCTTCATGAAGATACAGTCATGGAACGTATGGGGGATTGGTAGACTAGAGAAAAGGAGGAAGATTAAGAAAAGTCTTGCTATCAGGAAAGTGGACATTGTTCTACTTCAAGAAACAAAGATAGTAGTAAACGCTGATCTTGTTAGCTGTGGATTTTACTTGTAATTCAGCTTGCTTCTGGTTCTGTACTTTTTCTCTAAAAATTAGCTGATATTTTTGGGTTGCAACGAGTTTTCTCTGTTTGGAGATTCATTAAGTTGATAGTAGGCAGGTTGGCTTTTGAAAACTGATCCGCCGCAATACAAATAAGCAATGCCAAACTCACCTTTATTTAAGAAAATTGTTTCTTTTTGTTCATTAGTGTATTTCTTTTATTGAATTTTTTGGTCTAATACATTTTAATGCTTTGCAAATTACAGTTAAAAAATTGTCGATATAATCTACTTTATTTGTTTAAAATTTTGTACCCCCTTCAAGTAAAAACCTAGCTCTGTTTTTAACTATTGATATCTGAACATTTTCAAAAATATTCAAAGAGCATTAAAAATTGAATAGTTCAAATCATTAAAATTAAATTTAAAGAAATTGTCCTAACCAATTTAATTTTTTTTCAATTTTGCTACATATTCATACTAAATTTATCAACTACAACATTATATAGTTAGTGAAATATTAGATAATTTAGTCTGATTTTGTTACAATTACCCATTTACATTCCAAACGCATACTCATTAAGAGTCTGCATGTATATTTAGGCCTCGTTTGGGAACAGACTAATTTAGTAATTTTTTGATTACGTGACTAAAAAGGTAGGTAAAAAAAACTTGTATGTTTGAGATGACTTTTTGGTTAATTACGAAAAGATGTGCAAAAAGTAGAGAGAAAAGAGAATCTTTGACTTTTTTGTATGAGTTGTTGACTTTTTTGGCTAATTTAATAATTTTTTGACTAATTGACTAAAATTTAGTAATTTTTTGATTATTTGGCTAAAAAGGTAGGTAAAAAAAACTTGTATGTTTGAGATGACTTTTTGGTTAATTACAAAAAGATGTGCAAAAAGTAAAGAGAAAAGAGAATCTTTGACTTTTTTATATGAATTGTTGACTTTTTGACTAATTTAATAACTTTTTAACTAATTAACTAAAAAAGTAAATCTCCAAACGGGACCTTAGAACGATAAATAATCATGTGCCTGTCTTTTCTCGATTCATTTAGAAGTATTATGTATTTGTTTGGTTTAATTTTGTCAGAATCAATTTTGAAATTTAACTTTTTGAAAAGAGTTATAAATTTTAAAATTTTATTTAGTTGTATATTTTGAAAATAACTTTTTAAAAAGTTAAAAATTCAACTTGTTTGGTTTGAATTTTCAAAATTAATTTTTGAGTTTTTTATTTTGTGTTTTGTTGCCATTAAATAACTTCTTTTTTTTTTGTATTTTAATCAATTTTTTTTAAAACTTTTTAGATGCACTACTTATTAAATACATCTAATCTAAGTGTACTTTATTTGTAATGAACTTTTAAAGTATTTTAATTAATATTTTTCAATTTTTAGATTCACTCAATTTTAAATACACTTAAAACATATACAATTTATGAAAAAATCATTTAAAAAATTACAAAATATTAACAAATACACAAAAAAATACAAAACTTTAATACATGTTCAAATTTTTTTGATATTTTAAACCAAACAAAGTTTTAAAAATTATTTACTTCATTTCAAATTGGACGTTCAAATTTAAATTTAAAACATTTTTTCACTATTTTTAAAAATATTTTTTATTAATTTGAAATAAAAATATGATGTAACACATACTTCAACATAAATGTTAATCCCTCCATCTCAAAATATTAGTCTCTTTGAAGAATTTAATTTTTTTGATAGTACAATTATTACACTTCAAAAATATTAACCTTTCAAAACTACCCTTTAGTAGTACAATTATTATACTTAAAAAATAATGTTAATGAATTTAAAAGGCCAAAATAGGAAATTCATGTTTTTTAAGCCATTAATTTTTGAAAATGAGCTAATATCTTAAGACAATAAACGAAATAAGGGGCTAATATTTTAAGAAGAATGGAGTAGTTCAATTAATGTAACTTTGGTAATATAGATAAATTTGATTTCAAAATAGTTTGAGTTCAATTAATGTAGTTTTGATAATAGAGATAAATTTGATTTGAAATAGTTTTAGTTTAAATAATGTAGTTTTGGTAATAGAGATAAATGTGCAATAATGTTTGAGAGCTCTAATGCAGCTCTAATGCAACTCTAATGATGTGGAGAGTACCCATGTCAAGGTGGGGCCCACACTCCTATCTCTATCTCTCTTTATTTTCTTTCTTTCACTTCACTAGTGCTTCATTTAGAGCTCTTAAATTAGAACTATGTATCATTATTCGATAAATTTGATTTGAAATAGTTTTGGAAATAGAGATAAATTTATAGTAGATTTGAACACTACAACAATTTACACTTTTAGCGACCAAATTTTGCAACTGAAAGAAATTTAGTCGCCAAAAGTTGTAGAATATGCAACTAAAAATTACATTAGTCGGTGTTGAAAACAGTTTTAGCTTCTAAATTTTTTTTTTGGTAGCTGTATATTAATTGTTGGTGTCTAAAAAAAAATTAGTCGCTAAATACGCCACAATAGGCGACCAAAAATTGTTTTAGTCGGCATTAGTCCATGTTTTAGGCTACCAAAGTTTATTTTAGTCACAATATACCTGTTTTTCCCTACTAAAATAAATTTAATCGCCAATGACCTTTCCTGATAATTATTCATCGACCAATTTGGTGACAAAACATTTTAGTTGGTAAAAGTTTTTGGCGACTAAAGTACGACTTCTGACAATTAAAAATTTAGTCGCCAAAAATTTAATTTGTTGTAGTGGAAATAGTTTTGGGAATATTAAAATTTTAAAATTGATTTGAAATAGTTTTGAAAATTTTGAAAAAATTTTGAAAAAATTATAAATAAATGAGTTTTCAATTTCGGGATTAAATTCTATCCGGCTTAGCGGCAAACAAACTTTCCGGACGACCACTTAGACTCTGACAACTCAGCTCAAAGATGCATCAAACGTGCACCACATTAAAACTCTAGGATCAATTTGAACTGATCTTTATTTTATTTTATTTTATTTTAGGTAAAGATGTAATTTTTTTTTTATTTTTTTTTGTAATTCAAAAATTATGTTAACTGATTTGAATTGATCTTTTTTTTTTTTGTTTTATTTTAGGGAATGAATGATTTTAGATAAAGATTTTAAAAGATGAACAAATAACTTTTTAATTCATTTCTTTAAATTGAAAGGTCAAAACTGCGTTTCAATATTTGATTTTAGGAAATGGCAAATTTTAGGCAATGATCTTAGGAGATGGGTTTGAAGAGATTTTTTTATTTATTTGTTTGTTTAATTCGGAAATTATGTGAGACACATAAATATTTATTACTTTTTTAAATTGAAAATTTGGGAAATTTAAATTCAGCACCTAAAGCTCTCACATCTCTTCTAATTAGAAATCTCATTTTTCTTAATATATAGTATAAATGTATTGTATATAAGTATATAAAATTTAAATTAAATATAAATATTTCGTAATAAAAAAATTCATGTTAAATAGAAAACTTTTAATAAGGTAGATGAAAAAATAAAAAAATAAAAAAAAGTATTAATATTTAATAGAAAAAAATTAATTTGTAAAATATAAATTCTACATGTAGTTCAGATGAAGTAAAATTCTTTTACATATTAGATTTTAGCAAAAATTGAGAATAAATACTATTTTTATTTCTATATATATATATATATGATAATAATAATAAATAAAAGTAGTGAAACACTGCCGCTAGACTTCTCATGCAAACCTAGCAGTATATATTACTACTACTATTGCCCAAAGAAAAAACCCTAAAAACTGCAAAAAGATTCACAGAATACGAAGAAGATGTTGATGTTGATGATGATGATGATGATGGAGAAGAGGCAAGAAGAAACAAAGATTTCAATCCCTCAAGAGATTATCTTTGAAATCCTGAAAGAGCTTCCTGCAAAATCATTACTCAGATTCAGGTGCGTTTCCAAGCTTTGGTGCTCCACAATAGACGACCCACTGTTCATCACCTCTCACCGTGCTCGATCCCATACTCGACCTGGTGGTATCAACATCCTCATTGGTTCAAACTCATTAAATCAGAATCATGATCACTTCTTTTCAATAAACCCAGAATTTATAGGACCGCCTCTTCCCCTTCAAACACTGCGCGTAACAGGTTTCATACAGTCCGTTAATGGCTTAGTATATTTCGGCAACACTGTGTGGAACCCTAGCACAAGAGAGATCATAACCCTTCCACCAATAACTGATTACACCACTTGGGTTCCCTGTAAATATTGTTTGTTAGGTTTTGCTCCTTCCATTAATGAATACAAAGTAGTTACCATATTTCAAATCTCTGTTACCAAAGACTTTGGCCCAGATTATGAAAAACAAATCGAAAGGCGAACGCAGTGCAAGATTTTGACTCTTGGAAGCACCACCAGCAGCAGCCTCTGGAGAGAGATTGAAATTGATTCTCTCCCAACCCAATTAAGCAATTTTTGTATGGGAAGAGCATGTTGTTTTAATGGAACTATATATTGTTTGGGTAGAAAGAATGATATTATGGCCTTTGACGTTAGACACGAGAAGTTTAGATTCTTAACTCAGCCGGCTCTATATGATGGAAGGCGTTCACTATATCCCATACAAGTCGGAGAGTGCCTGGCTGTGATGGATGACTTGTTTGAGAATCTTTGGATATTAAATGAAAGCTCGATGCACTGGAAGAGGGAGAGTCTAAGTCTAATGATTCCAGATTTTTTCAAGCGAACTCAATATTGGGAAAGATATCCGGATGGTGAGTGGACTGAACATTGGGAAATTTTAATTCCGATTGGTACCATTAGTAGTAGCAATAGTATTTTACTGTATGGGTGGAGAGGGTACACATCCTTAGAATTGTATTACTACGAGCTTGAAAGTAAACAATTGAGGAGGATTTGTTGTACTGATTCAAAAGTTTTTCAATCCTTACCCAACCGGTTTGGGGTATCTCAAGTCTCTTTCACTAAATATGTGGAATGCTTGTTCCGCTTGAAGGGATGTAACTAATTAGAACGGGAAAAAAAAATTACAAAGGAAATGTTTCCAATTTTTTCTATAGGTGATGCAAAAAAGCGAATGAGTACATGGATGCAGTATTTCAATCTTTTGTGATTTCTAGAAGTTTAATTTTATTTTTAAGCCATGTGTAGTAGTTTTATGTTAGTAATATGGTTTGGTTGTAAGGTACAATTTGGCGTAATTTTTGAAAATTCTTCCAATCTATTAAAGTCTTTCTGAATTTTTGTTGTTCCCTTTGATGAAAGTATTTAGAAGTCATTCCATCCGAAGCACGGTGGTAGAAAGTCAATTGCAAGAAAACCACATGAATTGCTTATTATATTTACAAATCCTAACATATAAATATGTAGATTATTTGTAAGGCAACTCTATATTGAAGGGTGGAAATTTTGGATACTCTTGAATTGTACACAAACTTTTTTTTTTTTAAATTTATTTATCAGCAAGAAACATATTTATTGATGATAACAAAACAACCATTACATCTTGGTATAAATTAATACACAATCATCTGCGAACTCAAGCCAAGAGAAACCAACAAAAGGGGGAACAAGCAAACTACAGATAACAACCAGAAAAAAGTCCCCAACATTACAATGACAGCAAGACCAACAACAAAGCATCAGCAAGTTGCAGCAAATCACCCAGCAATTTTGTTTCTCCTCTGTCCCAGGGCCTGAGACACATTCTTGTTAGAATATGTTAGAATATATTAGTAGTATATTAGCTAGTTGTATATGAGCTGTCTACCAACCAACTTTAATGATGTTGTTCCTTAGTGCATTGCCTCTTTCGGCCACTTTTGGCCCCCCTGTACACACTCTCCCCTATAAAGGAGAGTCTTCTCTGAACATTGTAACATACAATATCAATAACATTCAATAAATCAATCATAATAATACATACAATTTATTCTTTCTCTATCAATTTATCTTACATGGTATCAGAGCTAGGTTAAGAACCTAGTAATTTCGTTTCACTGGCGGGCGGCAATCTCGCCTTGGCCGCCCGCCGGACAAACCCAGATTTCCTTCATTTCTTCTTTCATGGCAACAACACTTCATAGCTCGAATACAACACTTCAACAAAGATAGTCTTCTCAATACAACAGACAGACCCACTCACCAATTGCCTCACTCTTCACCTCCGCTCTTTCACCCATTGGTAACCTTGTGCAAGTCTCCATCCTTTGCTCTTCATCAAGTAAGCTATCACAATTGCTGGTGACCTGCTTTTTCCAGACATGCAGTGGACAAGAACAAGTGCCCTGTCCTTTTCACATTGCTTTGACTCCCCCAACCCTTTTCTCTCCTTCTTTGAGTACCCAAAACTCCAACCAGAAAGTTGTTCACCCACAGAAGACGGCATTACCCAATCCACGTCGCAAATTATACCCACTGCTGCAACTCCACAATCGGCAGACACCACAGCTGCAACTCCACAACCGGCAGGCACCGCTGCTGCAACTCCACGACTGAGCTACCATACAGCTTCCAGCCGTGACTAAGCATTCCTTGGCCGCCCGCCGGACAAACCCAGATTTCCTTCATTTCTTCTTTCATGGCAACAACACTTCATAGCTCGAATACATCACTTCAACAAAGATAGTCTTCTCAATACAACAGACAGACCCACTCACCAATTGCCTCACTCTTCACCTCTGCTCTTTCACCCATTGGTAACCTTGTGCAAGTCTCCATCCTTTGCTCTTCATCAAGTAAGCTATCACAATTGCTGGTGACCTGCTTTTTCCAGACATGCAGTGGACAAGAACAAGTGCCCTGTCCTTTTCACATTGCTTTGACTCCCCCAATCCTTTTCTCTCCTTCTTTGAGTACCCAAAACTCCAACCAGAAAGTTGTTCACCCACAGAAGACGGCATTACCCAATCCACGTCGCAAATTATACCCACTGCTGCAACTCCACAATCGGCAGACACCACAGCTGCAACTCCACAACCGGCAGACACCACTGCTGCAACTCCACGACTGAGCTACCATACAGCTTCCAGCCGTGACTAAGCATTGCCGAGCCACCACCAGCAGCACCACCAACTACTCCACTGCCGAGCCACCACCGCTGCAACTCCACAACCGAGCCATTCATGTTCTTCTCAGGCTGAACCTTCGACTAATCCAACACTCCAAACCGATATCATCTCTCTCTCTCTCGGGGTTGGTTGAATGTAAAGTTGTAAACTGATGATAAAAAAAAACGACACACACAGAAGACCAAACCCAGCTCTCTCTCTCTCTAACAGAGCTCTCTCACTCTCTCAGCACCTCTCTCTCTCGGACTTCCTCCTTTCTTTTATTTTTTATTCATCCCCATATCCTCCACCACGTCCCTTTCTTTTTTTTTTAAACAATATTTTTGACCAAACACACCAACAAACCATGTGCTGGTTTTACCCAAATCAATGGGCCACCTTACACCCAAATCAATGACTCTTTCATATTTTATTAATCTATTGGCCGGCACCATCATGGTTGGTTTGAACAAAACCGTGGGCCCCATTATCACTTTCTTTTATTTTATTTTATCTTCCTTTTTTCATTAAAAAAAAAAAAAAAAAACATCATCCCTTTTCTCTCTCAAAAAAAAAAAAAAAAAAAACATCCCTTTTCTCTCTCGAGATTTCCTTATTTTACCACTCCGTTGGTGAGCTTTTCCAGATTCCTATTCCCACTACCTTCTTTTTATTTTATTTTATTTTTTCTATCTTTCTTTTTTTCATCAATATTTCATTATTATACATCTCAGTTGGTGAGCATCATCCCTTTTTCCATTATTTTCTTATTATTATTATTTTTCCACCACCAAAAAAAAAAAAACAAAAACAAAAAAAAAACAAAAAAAAAGAAGAAAAAAAAAAACACTCAACACCACCCCCCTTGCTTTTTCTGCTCCAACACCCTTGTACCATTCTTGCCATCCAACTTGCACAACACCCTTGTTTTATTCCCATCAGGGTCTACACCACACAAAAAAAAACAAAAAAAACAAAAAAACAAAACAAAACAAAACTTTTTTTTTAACATCTTCACTCTGTGTTGTGCTGTTTTACTCCACTTTATTAATCCCTTTGTTTCAACCTCAAATAGGTTTTTATCTTCACACCTATTTGAGTTTGAGGGAGGGTTATACCTATATCATGGTGAGCATGGTTACACACCATGCGAACCACCCAAGCTGGTGAGCATGGTTATACACCATGGGAACCACTCAAGCCACCCCATGGCGCACTCCCTAAGTCGCCTCCTTGGTGCACCACCACAAGCTTCTACAACGATCCGACATGACCCCATAAACTGTCCCGACATTGATTCCGGTCAGCTTCTACATCGGTCCCGCATGACCCCGTAAACTGTCCCGATATTGATTCCGGTTAGCCCCTACAACGGTCTGACACGACCATACCATGTCTTCAGCAACAATTTGACACAACCATACAGTGTCTTTTATCCTATTTTCCTATTTTGTTACTCTATCCAAACTCAAGTTGGCTAGTACCCATCCTCCTTGAGTTTGAGGGGGGCTGTTAGAATATATTAGTAGTATATTAGCTAGTTGTATATGAGCTGTCTACCAACCAACTTTCATGATGTTGTTCCTTAGTGCATTGCCTCTTTCGGCTACTTTTGGCCCCCTGTACACACTCTCCCCTATAAAGGAGAGTCTTCTCTGAACATTGTAACATACAATATCAATAACATTCAATAAATCAATCATAATAATACATACAATTTATTCTTTCTCTATCAATTTATCTCTAATTTGCTGCAAGTTGGATACCAAGTCATGAACTGAGTATACACACTTAGGAGAATGGTACTTGGCCCACAATGAAACTTTACACAGCTCTTTTAGTTGAGGTTGTACTCCTTTAAAGACACACTCATTCCTGGATTTCCAGATGGTCCACATAAGGGCCAGAGGAATAGACTTCCACATCAGCCAGAAGAATTTCTTAAACTTGAATCCATCCCACCAGTTAAGCAACCCTTCGACACTACCATTACATCTTGGTATAACCCATTGTATCCCCCACCACTTCAGCAGATTGGACCACACCTTCCACACAACTGGGCAAAATAACAGCACATGTTCTGATGTTTCAGCCTCAGAATCACAAAATCTGCAAGCAATATTAGCATCCATACTAAGCACAAAAATCCTTTGCAAGTGGGCTGCTGATTGATCCTGGCATTCCAAGCCCATCACCCAAAAAACTAGGTTTTAAGAGGAGAGTAATTCTTCCAAATGATAGAAAGGACAACAGAACTAGACCCAGAGACATATCTATTGTGTACTGAACTCACACTGAACTGACCTGGTCAAGAGGCCTTCCATGTTAAGCAATCTTAAGCAATCTCGGCTCGTTTGCAGTCTACAGGCTGTAGACAACTCAAACAGTCTTGGAAATTCCCCTTTTAAACTCTGCTGACCAACCCAACTGTCCTCCCAGCAGCTAATCCTGGTCCCATTCCCAATAGCAATCTCAGTATTTGATAGATAAAAATCCTTTAACTGGGGATTACTATTTGCATTGCTTAGAATGTCTATCCAGACCCTAGAGCCTCTGTTACCAATTCCCAGAAATGGTAACCATCTGCCTCCTACCACAGCATACTTTGAACAAATAATTCTCTTCCATAGAGCATGATCTTCATTGGCATACCTCCACTACCACTTAAAAAGAAGACAGTCTTTAACCTCTCTAATCCTCCTCATTCCCAGCCCACCTCTCTAATCCTCAGAGTTAATCATTTTTTGACATGAACATGAATATGACATGATATGACATTTTTTTTTTTTTATCGGCAAAAAGAAAACTTTATAGATGAAGAAAGCAAGATACATGCGAAAACTTACATCAATTAAGAAAGGAAGTACAAAAGCATCAAAACTAACCTTACCAATCCCAACTAAGTTGGCACAGATAAGGTAGCACAATCCTTTGCTAGCACTTAACCCATGATTGGTGAGAAACCAATCAAAAGAACCAAAAAGAGAAAGGAAAAAACAACAGATAACCAGCAACAATTAGAGCAACACACTTAGCAACCTTAACAGTCCCTAACCAGCAACATTACAGCAACAAGCCAAAAGCAGACTTGCTTACTGAGGCCTTGTATGAGTAACTTACCACCAGCATCCAGCAGCATTAGCATTAACATTAGCATCCAGCTGAACAGAGCAGACCAGCTTCCAGCAGCATTAGCAATACCACTACTCTCCTAACATCTGCACAGAGCAGACCAGCTTCCTAACATCTGCACAGAGCAGACCAGCTTCCTACAACAGCATGCCTACCAACTGCATACATCAGCTGACCTCAGAACTACAGCATACAGCCTATCTATTTGCAACCTCCACTCATCCTCATACATGAACAAACCACCAATGCCATTCAACAGACTAGCAGCCAACCAGTAGCATACACCAGCAGGCTCAAACAGCATAGCAAACCAGTGGCAGCATAACATCAGGACACTGCAAACTGAAGCAATCTTCCCTGTGACACAGCAAGAAATCCACCAAAATCAAACTGAGGTCCGAACATCCAATTATCCCAAGCACCTTTATATTTGCTGCAAATTAGACACCAACTCATGCACTGAGTGTAACGCCCTCAAAATAATAACATTAAACCCATCAAATAAGACATGCATTGATATGTAAAAGTTCCACATTCTTCCATATATCAGAATTTCATTACATAAGTATTACATGTTAACAACAAAAGCAAATGCCCTATGGGCTTACAGCTTTCCAAGTTAACACTTGGTTACAACAAAAGAGTACTAACTCATTACACATTAAGCCATGTAAATCACTCGCCTATTGAATTGTTGGTATATTTATTTTTCGAGTCTAGAAATAACTATTTTGGGCTATCGGTGGAGGATAGTCGTGCTTGTTGTAGACATTGCATGCGGATTAGGGAAAATTGAAACTAATCAATTGATTTAA